GGCCGCAACCTTTTCCGGATCCGTCCTTACTACCTCGGCCGACACGAGGTGACCCAAGAAGGACACCTCCGTCTCGAAGAGATCGCATTTCTTCGGTTTGAGCTTCAGGCCGGTGGCTCGGAATCGCTCCAGGACCGTGGTCAGCCGCTTGTGGTGTTCCTCGAAGTCTGCCCCCCACACGATCACGTCATCCAGGTAGAGCACCGCCACCTGCCACTGCAACCCCCTCAACACTTGCTCCATTAGACGATCAAATGTCGCAGGAGCGTTGCAAAGGCCAAAGGGCATAACGGTGTACTGGTACAGACCGTTCTGCATCCCAATAGCCGTCTTCTCCCGGTCACCCTGGTCAATGCCGACTTGCCAGTAGCCACTGGCCAGATCAAGGGTGCTGAACCACTTCGCCCCGCTCAAAGCGTCAAGGTTGTCCTCGATTCTGGGGATTGGGTAGGCGTACTTCAGCGTCACCTCATTGACTTTCCGGTAGTCGACGCAGATCCGGACAGACCCATCCTTCTCCCGGACCAGCACCACCGAGGATGACCAAGGGCTGGGGGGGGGGCTCGACCACGCCGACCTGCAGCATCTGTTTTACCTGCCGGTCGGCTTCTTGCCGTTTATGTATCGGCAATCTCCTCGGCGGTTGACGTATAGGCGTTGCTGTCCCTGTATTTATTGTGTGTCGGATCAGTTTGGTCTGACCAAGTTTGCCGTCCGGGCCGGTAAATGCTCCAGCGAATTCCGTCAGCAATTCAGCCAGTCGGGAACGTTCAACACGGTCAAGGCTCGCGGCTCCTCGCTCCAGGAGGTCTTGCAGATGGGGCGGTACCTCTCTCTGGGCATCCGTCCTCTGTCCGGTGTCACCCAAAGAAAGTTGGTTGACGGCAGATCCTTGTTGCCCGTCCTCCAGCTCAATCACATCCAGACCCTCCATTGGTGAGAAGAGAGCCAAGCGGCTGCACTCTCGCCACCATGGGTTTGTGCATAACACTTCCCAAGGGGACCGCCTTCCGGTTAATGATGACAGCGTTGTCTCCCGATCGCCATTCGCAGTGATACTTTGACAAGAAATCAATTCCGAGTACCACGTCTGGCTCGATATCGGCCACGGTAAAGGTGTGGTTTGCGCGCAAATCCCCAACTTGTAGGTCGAAGTTGCCCCCCCCCCCTCCCCCCTCTTGTCGGCATGGGGCAGTCGTCTGCCATCCTCAGAGCTGGAGATGACGGAAGGAGGTTCGGGCTCTCGGCACTGGGCAAGGCGTTGTAGATTCGCTCCGAGATCAGACTCACTGCTGCTCCGGTGTCTAGGAGGCAACGCACTGGTTTCCCCGCGATCCTCCCCGCCACGTAGTTCGCCTTAGACGTCCCACCCGAGGCCGGTCTGGCCCGAACAGCCGGCTCCGGCACAGGAAGTTTCGGTGTTTCCTCTTTCTGTGGTCGTGGCTGGAAGGAGGCAGACTGACGTTTCTGATGGGGGCAGTACCGTCTGATGTGTCCAAATTCGTGGCACCCATAGCACTCCACCTGGGCACGCGCACCTGGTGTATACACGGCCCGGGGGCCAATTTGGTTTCCTCGGCAGGGGTTGGAGGAGGCTGGGCTACCGACCTCACGTCCCTAGCCATCGATTTCTTTTTTCTGTTCTGCGCTTGCGACTCCAGAAATGCTTCCATTTCGGTCGCGTGAGTGACTGCCTCGGTCAAAGTCATCGCTTTCCTGGACAAGATGTGACGCTGCAGCTGTTCTTCTCCCAGGGCATTGCGGAAAGCCTCAACCGCCAAATCCTCACGGGCCTGCGTGGGCCACTTCGGGTAGCTCTTCAAGACCAATCGTCGGATTGATTGTCCTAGGCTACCAAGTGACTCGTCCCGGCCCCTCGTACGCTTAGACAGCTGTGCCCGGTGAAGCGGAATCTGTGCTGTCTCGACAAACCGTTGCTCGAAGTTTTCCAAGATGGAGGAATATTCCTTCCGTGCCTCTGGTGTCATATCTGCCAATGCCTCCTGAGCCGCACCCTTTAGGTGAGATGCAAGGAACATTGCCTTCTCCGCCTCACTCCACTGACGGACTGCTGCCACACTCTCGAAATGGATCAAGTAGTCCGACCACGATGAGATCCCGTCAAACCTGTTGGGGAGCATCAGTGGTCTCCGATCCCCCGGCCCGAGGTGATCAGGCGTCGCAGTTCCCCGCTTGACTGGCACTTGGGTAGCGCTCTCCCCCGTCTGTTTAGGGGCCGCCCAAACATCGCCTACAGCCTGCCGTCCCGTAACGGCAGAAACTGGGTCGGTCCCCCCTGGGAGCACCGGGTGGTGACATCCCATGGGATCACCCAATTGCAGTGGTGTACGGCCGAGCAGCCGGGTCGGTTCCGCTCCGTTGGCTTGTGTGCGGAGCAACTCGGTTCCATTGACTCACGTGCGGAGCAGCTCTATCGGCTCCGCGCCATAGACGTCCGTGCGGAGCAACCTTGCCGGCTCCGCCCCATTGGCTTGTGTGCGCGGAGCAACTCCATTGACTCGTGTGCGGAGCAACTCTGCGGGCTCCCGTCAATTGACTCGTGTGCGGAGCAACTCCACGGGCTCCACTCCATTGACTCGTGCGCGGAGCAACTCTGTCGACTCTGCCCCATAGACTCCCGTGCGGAGCAACTCCGTCGGCTCCGCCCCATTGACTCGTGTGCGGAGCAACTCTACGGGCTCCCGTCCATTGACTTGTGCGCGGAGCAACTCCACGGGCTCCACTCCATTGACTCGTGTAGTGCGAGCCTGCTCCGAGTGGAGGTCAGGACTCGCCATACTGCGATATTGGGGACGAACGTTCTGCTGGGGGAGATCCACTCCCGGTCGTGCCGCCTGAGGCGCGCTCGGACGGTTTCCCGCCCCCGGTATATGGGCAAATCCAGCCTGGGGCGCCCCGAATGGGAGGCCGCACCAGTCGTATCCATGTAAGCACCGAGTTGTGCTGCCATGTGGGGCCTAGCACTAATTTCATGAACATAGGGGTTGTGGGTTGCCCCAGGACGAAAACCCGCCCCCGCTGCATCAACCAGCACAGCTCGGAATCGCTCCGAATGGAACGAGACGTCTGCAGCGCCAGCGTCTACAGCACGGGGCGGCCCCTCGCAGGACCTGGCATGTACTGTGTTAATACCAGCAACCTGGGGTATGTCCCGACGAAGCCCCGCCCCGCTGCATCGGACAGCACAAATCGGGATCGCTCCGAGTGGAATGAACCATCTATTGCGCCATCGTCTACAGCACGTGGCGACCCTACGTGGGATCTGGCCTGTACTGTGTTATTACGGAATATCTGGGGTATGTCCCGACGAAGCCCCGCCCCCGCTGCATCGGACAGCACAAATCGGGATCGCTCCGCATGGAACGAACCGTCTACTGCGCCACCGTCTACAGCACGAGGCGGCTTCTCGTGGGACAGGGTACCAGTCATTGATAATTTATGACAATGAGCATGCCCACCCCCGCAGGGGTAGACGTACTGCAATGACTTAACGCCCCGCCAAAGTCCAGAAATTCCACATTACCATCCCCCACATCCTCCCTCATGAGAAAATCCGTCCCCCAAAACCCCCTTGTTTCCCCTTTCCTCCCACCAAAATTCCCCGGACTATCCCGCAAAAAGGATTCCAACTCGTCCACCGGCCGATCCACTTGACGGGCCCCCACTCCGTGAGCCCGCACTCCAGCCTGCCTCCTCGCCGAGTGGCGAGTTGGGTGCCAGACTTTCGTGATCTCCTGATATCATTGCAGAAAATCGCCTTCTGCGTGCCGCCGCTGCCACCAATGTAGCGTAGAACTATTCTGGGGTTCCTCACACGCACTCAAAAAAGGACTCCAACACAGATATACTCGTTTCTGCTGGCTCTAGGCTGTTTATTCCTCACTAAAACGTACACCACAAAACACAACTATTCTCTTCAGCAACAACAATACTACTGCGCATGCGCCGCCCGGAAGACGGGCCTCCCCGGCCGGCCACCAGGGGCTCCACTGCGCGGCTCCACCGTGGAACCGCGCTGGTGCCCTCTGGCGGCCGACCGGCACGGACGCCACAATATATATACAAGAAAGACTTGTTTTGAATTTCCCTCAGTGTCTTATACGAGTGGTTTAGGCTTAACGAACAGGGATGATACATTTGCTGAAAACTTAATTCCAGGTGTGATTATAGGTAGCACATAACTCGTTGTTTTAATTTGTCATTTGAAATAGCCCCATGTTACATTTGTAATGAATCTATAGTTACTGATAAGGTAACGCTTACATTAACTAATCCAAGCAAGAAATGCCCTAAAAATGACTTGGTTTTCTAAATAATATCTTTACTTCACGCTGAATGAACTACTGCATTTAGACAATAATATTATCTGAATGGCAATCGCTGTATCGATTCAGAACTAATACAAAAACTACTTATACATCGGCGTTAACCATAAACATCTTAAATAACTTGAACCAAACGTAGTAACTTTTTCTTTCGGAGTTAATTACTACTATGCCACAGAAATAAGAAATAATTAGCCTCAAGCACAATATCAATAATGAAACATTTTACATGTATTATAAACACGCAAACAACCTGAATAAAAGGGTAAATCTGTGCTTATACATTTCGGTTTAGATTAGAGAACAAAGTTGATCATACTTTACAGATAATAAGTAAAGACAAATTACTCTAATTTTGTCATTGACTCAAATACACAAGCAAAACTGCGGTAAACAGAGAATTAAGTTAAATAGCATTACAAACTGGTGAGTTTACCATGAATCGTCAAATACTGTCGTATCATATTTAAATTGCCTATGTGGCACTATATATAAAACAGTTTGTTTGATATCAATTGATGCAATTGATTGCTTCATTTATTTCAACAAAGACAAAATACTGCGTAATATTACCTCTTCCCATCGGATTGGTCCTCAGTTTTTTAATCCATAGAAATGTTGCAACCAAAGATGATCAGAATCGCATTAATTGCTTCAGCTGGATGAATTCCGGCGACATCCAAGCAACTCGAAGCGCAGAGCAACGCCAGAAACCCATTCAGTAGGCTCGATGCGCACTACCGTCGCCACCACACTCTCATCAAACAGGTTAGTGACCGGAGTATTGCCATTAGTGTTGCCGATGAACACCTGAAAAGACAACCAAAATACAATAAATTTTCGTTGAATCAATTGTCTTTGAATGAACTGCGTAAAACATCGTATTAGACCAAAACTTTCCGAAAACAGGGTATTTCGGGGCAGCCTTAAATAGAGTAAGGCCTACAGTTCATCCTACCCAGACAATCTGTTTAGAGGAGGCATAATTTCCAATTCGAAATTACGCTATAGATTTAGGCCCCTCGGTTTATATTTCAAATTATGTTTTGTGTTTTCTTTATATCCAAGGGAGCCCTCCATAAATATAATAACATGTTCGCATATAATATGAAATAACTTGGATTATGTGGCTTTTTGTGAGTAGCCCGCCCGCCCGGACGAGAGTTCTTCCTCTTGGTTTTTTACAACATTAAACAACCGGTTTAGATTTTGTCTTTCCTGACTAGGAGTAATTCAAAAACAACAAAATCTTGGAGATGTTACAACTGTTTGCACACTGTTGTAGTTGTCAGACCAAGGTAATAAATTAGTTCACCTTGATGATTCCGTTTCCATCAGTCACGCGATCATACAGGGATGAGGGCTGCTTCTGATACGCCGCTGTGTAGTGCGTCACATACCACCCGGCCAAGCCTTGCGTTATGATACCAGACACCACTGTACTCTCAACGAGGTCCACCTCGATCCAGGAATTGGCGTAGCTGTACATGTATGCAAACACACAGTGAAGGTGCATGAGAACCAATGACATGACATTGCTCCGGAAACAAAGCCACTTTTTAACACAATACTTTCTTTATCACAGTGCTCAGTTTTTATTTGGCCTATATGAGATAGTTCGTCCGCAAAATTATTCATGAGAGGTAATTTGCTAGAACCCGTCTTGAAGCAGTGGAGTAACTATTTGAGTCAATGACAAGTGCCTGCAAGTCAACCTCAACTCCATTATAAGTCAATTAGTCTCAAGTCAAGTCACTAGCTATTCAAATGAACTGTTACAAAGACAATATTCCTTTGCCATTGTTCATCCCGTTCCTGTATCGAGTGTCGGGTGTGGTGTTTCCCTTTGATGCCTACCTGGACGTTGGTGACCACACATTATTGTCGTTGAGACGTGCGTCAGTGGCAGGGTAGCCTGAAGAACTATAGGACGCCGTGATGCGATCATCAGGGATTGTCCCGTCCTCCATACCGAGGGGCTCTGGACTCGGGCACTCAGCTATGACTGTGAAGCAAGGGAGGGAACGCAGTTTGTACAAATTTATTATGACAATTCACCAACTTTTTTTCGGGAGCATCAATCCCACGGTTGTGCCTTTCACAAGTCATCATGCGTGATAAATTGTAACTCCAAACATCTTTAAAATCGCTATTTCTTTTAACAGTGGTGTCGATTTGAAGGCGTTGCTGCCCTCACGCTTAGGTGGACTCTTTCGGCCAAGCAGGGCGCCATCTTGTGGCGAAAACAAATGAAATATGTTCACTACAAAGACAGTACATTTTGTATTTGCAAGGACATTTATGTGCTTGCTCCCTTGGATATTAAGGACAAAGTAAGAGTAACGAGTAACGTCATTCTTTTTAACCCTAAAAGAGCCGGGGCGGAATCCGTCCCCCCCCCCTCAACTTCTTCCGCGACCCGAGCTGTTATGTCTTTTTAGCCTCGAGCCTTGCGCATCTTTTGATACCAAAAACATAAAAAAAATCCCGTATACGTCGTGTACACAAAGCATAATTGCCATTAGTACATATGAATAATTAATTAGCCATAATTCCAAAACCTTTTGGTCTATAGTCATGAAATGTCTTGGGTATGTTTATGAAAAGTTGCTTTATGCATGTACCGAGTTTCAAATGTTTTCGTAACTCGATCGCCGAGATCTTAGGGGGGCGGAATCCGCCCCCTCCCCGGCTGAGAGATGATCAAAATAACCCGGCCCTTTTAGGGTTAAGAAGCAAAAGCCTCAGCATAGTATCATTATGCCTATTTTACACCAAAAAAATCATTCAATTTATCTTTTAAGTCCTCGACGATTTGAAAATAATTTTGGAAAACAAAATGGTCCAGCCAGTTGTATATGTCGTGTGATTGAGGATATCCGCATGCTAGTGCATGGGGTTTGGTTAACATCTTAAGGTCGCTTACCAGCTGCGGTAGGTTCCCTCCTTCCCGGGCAACGCTTCCGTATCTCTTGCAAGACTATCTTCATCCAGTGATCCGGATTTTCAGGATCCGGTTCCGGTGGAAGACCGAAGTAACACACCCTCGCCTGGCTCTCCACACCAACCAAGAGCACTTTGATTTAAGGAAAATTATTATCATCACGTGATGAATTTCCTGTCTTTCATCTTAGTTATACTCTCAGGTATTGTTGGGGTCGGTAAGATTCGTCTGGGCGTCACTAGGATTACGGGGGAGAGGAGCAGAAGGGGTGTCTTGTCTCTCTGTCTGTCTGTCTGTCTGTCTGTCTTGATTGACTGACTGCCACACAAAGCAGAAGTACTCTTACAAGAAACTCCGGACATAGCTCTTTACCTCCGAACAACAACCAGGCGAAACACAATCAGCAGATTGACTTCATTTTCGTTAGGAAGAAGTGGTGGAAAAGCATCAGAGATGCTCAGGCTCAATTTCTTTAACATCGTGGGGTCAGATCACTGCGTGGTCTCAGCCAAGGTGATACTCAGTATGCGAGTACTCAAGAAGCAGGTGGAGAAAAAGGCCAAGTACTTGTGGAAGGCTTTGGATAGTGACAAATTGTTTCAAGAGAAATACACAGTGGAAGTGAGAAACAGATTTGAATCTTTGGAAGTGGATGAAGATGCAGCGAATAGCTAGTAAAAACGCTTCCTCATCTGACTGTTCAAACGGTACTAACACTTGTACCCAAAAGCAAGGACAAATTCTATTAAAACAATCCTAGAGTCCTTTAGACCAGATGTCAACTTTGCTGCAGAGGGAAAACAAGATGAGGGCGTATATGTTCTTAAGAAAGAACAGCTCTACAAGGTCTTTGATGGGGTGTTGGCTAAATATCTAGCCAAGAAAATCAAGAGCATCGGAGATAGCCATGCTAACAAACAACATTCTACAAAGGTTGGACCCTCGTCAAAGAAGTTTCTGGAAATTGTTCTTCTTCTCAACCAAGTCAGATTGCTGGAGAAACTGTTGAAGATCGACCCAACTCGTGGTACAACCACTTTAAAAACCTCCTTGGTAATTCCCCAGTAGCGGAGACTGAGGATGAGGAAATACAACCAGAACCTGCCGATCAACGATGGACCACCCTCAAAGAGTACAAAACTGCAAGAAGGCTTACTCAAACCAGAGGAGAGATGTGGGGAAGAAGGGATAGTGCCGGAGGCGCTAAAATGGTTGCTCATATACACGCTTTGTTATACATCTCCAACAAATCCCTTCATTGACCAAGAGTTAAATACCCAGGCATTGGACAGTGCCCAACTTAATTCTTTTTCCGAAGTCAGGCGATCTCACGAAGGCTGATAATTACAGACGAATCAGCCTCAGCTCTGTGGTTGCAAAGGTCTACAACCGAATGATTCTGAATAGAAACCGTCCAGTTCTCGATCCTCTGCTGGGCAAAAACCAGAACGGCTTCAGAGAGAAGAGGTCCACAGTCTCACAGATACTGGCTCTGGAAAGGATCATCGAGGGGTAACAGGACGCATCTCCCAGCTGTCATGACCTTTGTCGACTTCAGGAAGGCGTTCGACTCGATCCACCGAGGGAAGCTCCTGGAAATTCTGCGAGCCTACGGAATCCAAGCGCGCATAGTACAGGCAATCAGCGATGTGCATTTTAACATTTCTGCCAGGGTGCTGACTCCCGATGGCGAGTCAGACATCTTTGAGAATATGGCTGGTGTACTGCAGGGTAATACTCTCGCGCCCTATTGATTCATCATCGTCCTTTACTACGTGGGGAGGGAGGGGAGCTTGGTTTCACTGTCTTGCAAAGCAGAAGGATGGGTGCTGTGGTAGAGTCCGACTTTGACTTTGATGGCGACATTGCTCTCAGCGTGGAATGAGAATGTAAAAAGATTGGCCTGAAGCTGATTGCCTAGAAGACGGAATTCATGTGCTTCAACATCAACACTAGGGATGCAAAAATCAACACAAAGGACGGCACTACCCTTGCTGTGAAAAAAAATAAATGACTTCAAGTACTTTGGCTCTTGCATCAACTCAACAGACAAGGACATCCCAGTGAGGAATGCACAGGCTTGGAATGCTTGCCAAAACCTTAAGAAGATCTGGAAGACTACAATGCCGGATAAACTCAAACGATCGGGCGCTATTCCGTGCAAGCGTGGAGTCCAGTCTGCTCTTCGGTTATGAGACATGAAGCCTAACTACAAAGCAAGAGGGTCACTTCGATGGCTGCAATACTCGCATGCTGAGGATGGCTGTAGACGTGGGCTGGAGAGACAAAGTCGGGAATGAGGTGCTCTACGGCAACCTGGTCAGAAATAGGCGTCTGCGATTGGCGGGATACTGTGTATGACGCCCAGAGATAGCTGCACTCATCCCATGAGAACCCGCACAAAGAGTATAGCCTCTCGAGGTGGGCAGATTTTAACCTACGTGTATGAACCAGATAACTTTGACAAGGGTCCATTTTTGTCGTTTAAAGCGCGTTTTTGCTACGCCGGGAACTCAGTAAAAATGATTGTCTGCAGAACTAAGTCCTAAGGAAAAATCAGCATTTTCCACCACAATCATCTTATAATACGCTGTCTGTCTGATGTCTGTCTGATGTCTGTTTGTCGCAAAAAAAGCCCAAGGAGTGCGCGGAAACACATAATGGTTGTATCAATGATTCCTTTGATTATGCTGTCATCCAGTGTGGTAAATTGTGCTCCGATTTCACTGTCCTTTGAAGTCCCGGTTGGCACGTGAAAAAAAATGTATTGGGTAAACGACCCTATCAGCCTTTTGAAATGCTACATGTTATTCTTTTTTTGACAATAATTCTCCGCGGGTTTTCTCCTTAACAGTTTATGTTATGATCTTGTATCGACATATCGACCATGATCTCGAGTTGTGCATAATACTCTGACTTCATGATGATGTCATCAGGTATTGTTTTATTTGTTAGATTTTAAGCCCTCTGGTATATGAAGGTTTATATAAAGAGCTTCGGTAACAGTTCGGTAAACTTTTCATTTACAGGCATATGACTCTGGCTTTGTTTTTGTATGTGTGTATTTTGTGATTTTTACTCTTTTCGCCCCAATAGGGTGACTTTCCCATAGACTTGTGCACAAACCTAAACTGTCACCTAACCCAAGTTTACCTTATGTTTTTTCCACGAAATTTAGTATTTATACTAATTGGACCATGAGGAATCGATCTAGATGGTTAGCGACTGCAAAATTCCTTGTCCTAAGGGTCGTTTTCATAAAAGGGCGACAGTCATTTTGTCGCCTCAATAAGGTGTATCGCCCTATTGTGGACGGAGTTCGCAAAACCTGTCGCCCTATTACAGTAATAGTAGTAATATAATTTACAATTGATGCAAAAGGGCGACATATTTCTCAAGTGTCGTCTCGATTATGGCGACACACCCTATGGTGCGACAATTTGGTGTCGTCCTATTGTTAAACAGACCCTTAGGACAAGGAATGTTTTGTCGCAAACCATCCAGATCGATTCCTCGTCGTCCAATTAGCCTAAATACCGAATTTCGTGGAAAAGGATTAGGTAAACTTGGGTTAGGTGACAGTTTAGGTTTGTGCACAAGTCTATGGGAAAGTCGCCCTATTATAGCGTTGGTAAGAGTTATTATAATAATATACTTACAAGCGATTTTTTGTAAAACAAAAAGATGACTTTAACCTGTAGCTCTTGGCGATGAGATAGCTCATCAATTGATAAACATTTTTAGTCCCGTACGTCAGGTTGCTTGACCCTTACTACCGGGTCTACCGGAAGGTCAAATTTAGGTGAATTCAAAATATGGAAATGAGCCATATTTCCATAACCAAGATTTCCTTCGAACGGTTAACGTGGTGATAATAAAGATTTAGTGCGATTTGAAATCTCAATCATACCTGTCATTGTTGATACCATCAGAATCCAAGTTACTGCTCCGTCCATTCTCAGAGATTTAGTGAACGGTAATCCGTATGGACGGTTGATTGTATCACCCGTATACAAACCACACCAACATGCCTCTTCAGATACGTAGACCACCGTTACTGCCAACCAATCACGAACGAGCACGAGCGTCTTGCAAGCATCCAAGCGTATTTGATTGGCTAGGTGTATGCTTACCAAGTTGTGGTGTCAGTTGTTTATTACAGGTGGTAATTTATTAAAACGCTTTTAATTTAAACGACAACCTTGGCCAAGCGCGTACATAACCAACAATCAATACACCACGGCTAGCAATTACTTGTAGCCCAGATAATATGAAAGCGTTGATTATATATGGATAGTGAATCTTTGGAAATTGTCTGAAGCGCAACGAAATCTTTAAGAAAGGTAGATATTAAAAACGAAACGAAAACACGAAACTAAATTAGGACTACAGGTTCTCGGCGTCTCTGAAATGACGCGAAACAGACATAACGCTTTTGTATATTACATTTTTGACAAAATGAAGAAAAAAAACCAAACTGAACAAACTAAACAAAACAACCAAAAACGGGGCAAATCGATACAGAACGCCTAGGTACAAGAAGTGGAGTTTCGTGCAGTGAATGCGAACCGAATATACAGGGAGGTTCAAAATCCACTTTTGACGGCAATCTTCATCTATTTTTACATATTTTTTTCCACTTGATTTTCTTGATCAAAGAGGTACCGCTATCTTCAGACCAACCAAAATATTACGTGTTTCAGTAAGTGTACAACACACGAGGTAATTTCAACCATTCTATTAAGTACTTTTTAACATTACGAGACTCGATCATATATTTGTCACCGTCCTACACGTTTTCACACCTTATTTACCTTTACTAAGCGAGATGTCGCGCTTTGCGCAGCCCTGCTAGCTGGGCGGAGTCGTAAAGTTTAGCTTCTTTTGCATGTTGACCCTACATGGGCGTGGTAAACCTTGGTGAAGCAATTTTGCAACATTTTTCATAATCAACGTCGGCCGACAAGCGTGGAAAATTGATACAAAAATATATCTTTTCTTCAAAATGAAAATTATTGTGTCAAAGCATAATAATTGTGTCAATTGCCGTAAAGTGCGAATTGCGGCAGTGCACATGAACGCAATTTTGATCATTGTGTTATTTCTACCACAAATAGCGATACCCAGCATCAAAAACTGTCCAGTTCCCATCCTGGGAAATGTGTTATGGTCGGTGATTCGAAGGACTTTTTTCCACTAAAATTTATTGCGATTTTTGCAGTTCTGTGTTAACAGAATGGCGAAGATTGTTCTTATCCTGTTTGCACTCGAGCTGGCTCTATATAGCTAGTTCGCTGGTATTAGTGTTTGCTGATGGAGGAAGTACATGTAGCGACACTTTAAAACTGGCCACGTTATGGGC